TTTTGTGAAGTTCAACAAAAACCAAAACAGCTGGTGAAGCAAGAGTCGAAGCCACTTAAATAAGTACAGGTGTTCAACCGTTTACTGATGTCCTTCCCAATTCTGCCTATTGGCTACTGAGCCAAGAACCTAAACCAACCAAACCTATGCAAGCAGAGAGGGCAGGACGTCGCAAGAACTTATTCTGAACTCTACTTGTGCAGTAGTATAGCTTTTTTTTGTGGCGATCTTCCATTAAACCCATCACTGATTTCTCCTTCTGTGGCTCATGTTGTCTCTTTCCGAAACTGCAGGGATGCTGTGCTGCAGTTTCTTGTTAAAGATCCAATAGGCCCAACCCAATCGTGGGTGACATGAGTCCAACATGCACAGATGGAAAGCTGAATGACCCAATTAAATGTTTGGAGCTGCTTGCAAGCAGCTGGACTCAAACATAATAACTGAAACTGAAATACAGAGACTGAAAGGCTTAGCATGTTTTTTAGAGTGTTTGTTGGAATTGGAAATTGGAAATTTTACGGGCTTTTTCAAAGTGATCTGGCAGCATAAGTACAAGAACTTTGGGCAATTTAAAGTCCAGTTTTAACATATATATGTATATGCCTCAATCTGTTTGTGTAATGATTAAAATTAATTAGAGATAAACATTTTTCCTCAACTGAACACACAAGTGAATAACTTAGCATGCAGAACTTTCTGGATGTACTCACTGTATACTACCATTGAATTAAACAATTATAGCTAAAAAAAAAAAAAAGAGAGTTGTCAAAAAGGTATATTCCAGTGTATTATTTTTGAGCTTTACATCCAGTATTGATTGACCACAATTCAGTGAAGATATGGCTACGGATCATGATTCAATTCACTAAATGGTTTTCTACTAAGTAGTCCATGTTTGTTTTTCTTCAAGGTTACCCTATAGCTTGGGGTACCAACAGTATGGTTAATTTACATGCATATTAAACAAAACTGTAAATTGCAATAAAAAAAATCAAAGAAAAAAAAAAATTATCATATGATTGTCTTACAACCGAGATTTGCAATACAAGCTAATGTAGCATGTAGCAAGCTTTATCTTGCTATATGCTAACTTCTGTTTTTGTAATCAAACTTTTTAGTATGGTTTTACTGATAAAGATAATGGTTGTTTCCTACGACGAAGGATTAGGGCCACGCACATTTTTTTATTTTTTTTTAATTTCGAGATTAAAGTCTTAAATTTACGAGATTAAACTCTTAAATTAACGAGTTTGAAACCAAAATGATGAAGAAGAACTCCTAAAGTATTTTCCTCTGCAGACAACTTCCTCCAAGTCAGTGTGGTTCTTTCTTTGGAAAAGCCACAGTCTCTTGCAGTATCTTTTCAGGGTGCTGATATTTTATGACAATGTGAAGATGATGATGTGCCAAAAGCATGTGTAGTTTCTGCATATCTGCATAAGTAAAGCCCCAACACAACTATTTGTGTCTGTTATCGGTCTGCCTTGTTAAAGTGTCTCATGTGCAGAGACAGTTTGTGTCCTGTTCATACATCATTTTACAGATAAACAAGGTCTTGCAATTTAAAGTGAAAACTTCTCTTCAACTAATTGTTTTTACCGACTACACAAGGAAGTAGCCTATTTCCTTTGCTTACCTTTAGGACAAGATGCTCCATGTTTGTCATTTGACAACAGGATGGTGCTGCTTTTCTGAAAGACTAAAATAACGACTTTATTCTTTTATTCTTTAAAGACTCAAGAGTTCTACTTTCATCATTTTCACGCAGGCTGGTCTCTAACTTGTTAATTTATGACTTTATTCTCGTAAATTTACGACTTCAATCTCGTAAATTTATGACTTTATTCTCGTAAATTTACGACTTAGTTTCCAACTGACTTCTATGTAAAAATCTTCAGTATGACTCATAAAATAGTTTCATTATTACTTGTTATGTCAGTCTACTCTAGATATTGAACTATGCATTTTCACAGCTTACTGTAATTTCCCATTTTGTATTACAGGTGCAGATTAGTAGTTTGGTTGAATGGGATTCAAATAAAAACTTGCATCGTGACACATACCGATTGCGATAGCGTCCTGGCTGACATCCGCATTCTCTGCCTGGATCCAATCGGCTTTTGGAGTTGGCTGAAAAAAAGTTTGTTCACAAGTAATTGTTGCCTTAGGTCAAATGCCCTAGCTTTGTTTATTTTTTGCCATCCTTATTTGTTTGCAGGTCCTGGTATGTTTATACCAAGGCCTACATTACTGGTCTAACCTTTAAGCCCGCCCATAACGTTAACATAACAAAAAGGTTAACCATTTTAAGAAAGGGAAGTAAGGGGGGTTGTTACATTTTGAAGTAGGCAACTATAAACACAATGTACACATTTGTGTTAATACGAAATAGTTGAGTATTTAGGTTTAGAACAAAATGAGTTACCATTGTTTAAATTTAGGATGGATTATGTTTTTGCTAACTGTCAAGGGCCCCTCATGCAGCTGGGCCTCAGAGACCCCCCCCCACCTCCCACCTTGGGTGGCCTTGCATCTATGTATCAACAGGTCCCTCTTTATAATCTCTTTTTAGCCTGGCACCAGAGACAGATTTAGATAACTCAATAACTTTTAAATCAGTTGCCTTAAAGAAATGCACAAGCATTCATGATTTACAGAAAATACTTTAGACTGAATTTAAAGTGCATCTGATTTTTTTGACCACTGATGCCTTAAAGAGGCCATCTTTGTTTTTTAGTAAACTATCTCAGCATTTTGAGATGTATATTTGTGGCTCAAAAATGTAACTCTTGAATGAACTAGCTGGTGCAGAAGCTCATGGTCTTTCTAAACATTGATACTAGTCTGAATTTACAACTGTTTCCACCATCAGATTTTGACAAATCCATTAGAGTCTAAACTGAGATTGTAGACACATACAGAGGTATAATCTAAGACTTGTGCATAAATTAATTTACTGTTAGTGGAGAACATTTTCGTTATTTTCATCATTCTTAGACTCTCCCTCTCATACCATGTCTCGAGGCTCAATATTCATATGCATATCAGGGACAATGATCCAAATACAGATCAAATGACTAATTTTTATAAGCCACTTTCATGTGGTCACATGTCAATGAAGGACATGTGAGCAAGAGATGGAAGTCTTATTTTTAGACCAAAATTTTCCAGCAGTGCGTTTGTTCGCCTTGTGGTTGGATCAATATTGTGCTTGTCCCATGATATGTAATGTTTTAATTTGGTGTTTGTTTTTCTTAAATGGAGAAGTGAAAATTGTGACAGAGAAGAAAATGTTGCAAGTGAGTAACCGCCACCAGATGTTAGATTAATATCTTTTCAGTAGGAAAGTTGATGTACATCGTAAAAGGCAATATTTATATAAGCCATTACTCTCCTGCTGTCTGTGGGGCAATTTAGGAACTGGTCACAAACTCTTTAAGCAGTGGACAAATCATTGTGTCAGTATCTGTGCAACAAAAGGGCAGCTTCATTTTTTAAATGGTTTATCACCTGGTCAATAAAGCTTCATTGAACCATCAGATACAGAGTCAGAGAAGGGAATGCTTATGCCCAGACAATGACTGAACTCATCATTCTGAGGGTTGAAATGGTAGACTGTGGTCCTAAAGGAAGTTGCTTCTAAAAAAGAAAAAAAAAATACACACAAAATGAAAAAATGAACATACCATTTTAACTAGGACAATAGTAATTTCATTGTTTTTTGAGTGGAACAATTCAGCTTCATGACTCACACAATGGTAGGCTCCTGTGCTAAACTTGAGATATTGTCCTCACTGGAATACAATAACTTTTAGCCTTAACTGTATTAGAGAACATCTAGTTTCAGTGAAGTGAAGCCATATACAATCCTTAGAAATAAGCAACCTTACAAAAGAAAAAGCTGTCACCAGCTCCAAGAGACTATGCCTCCATGCTGTGGCTGTAAAAGTAGGATCTATGCGTCTGTAACTTAATCCTGACAGGGGGTTCTATCGACTTTTGTGTGTTTACATTAGGCTACGTGTCATGATTTGGTTTTGTATTTGAGTTTCCCTGTTTTATCCCAGTGTTGCTTGTTTCCCTTGTGTGTTTCCTTGTTTTGTCTTCAATGTTTTCTGTTTTATTTTGTCAATTATTATCCTCGTGTATCTCTGTGTTCTAGTGTGTTTTGTTAGAGTCTTGAGTTCTGTGTGTCTTTAGTGTTTCATGAATTAGATTGTAGTTGTCCTCAGTGTTTCTTGTATTCCTGCTTCTGTGTGTTTCCCAGTGTGATTGCCCTGATTGTCCTCAACTGTGTCTTGTTAGTCTCACCTGTGTCTGATTACCCTATGTCTATTTAGTCTCTGTGTTTCTTCCCTTCCGGGTCAGTTCATTGTTGTAAGTTGCCAGTGCTGTTTGTTGTTTGTTGTTTGTTGTTTGTTGTTTGTTGTAGTGTCAGTGTTTCCTAGTGTTTCTCAGTGCTTGTCAATTTTTGGATTTTCTCAGTTTGGACATTTTGATAGGAAGTTTTAGTTTTTGCCTTTTTGTTTAAATAAATAGTTTTATTAGTTTATTCTGCACTTGGGTCCACCTCCCTTGTTTTACACACCGAACCGTAACACTACGACCGACGACTTTATCGTGACCTCTTTCAACACGAGATAAAGTAACATAAACTGATGATTCTCATTAGATTAGGATTGTTTTGGACTGCTTGTTTTTTGATAATACTTTGAGTCGTTATGACAATTGAGTCATTTTAAAATAAATGATTTTGCTTAGTCGAATAGGCCTCTATATGCAAAGTTAATTTGAGTTTAAATAAATAAATAAATTCCAAATTCTGCCTTTTGTCCCGACCCGCACATAGCGATGCTGTTATAATGCACTCTATTATGTAACCAGGCAACAGTAACATCAGCTGCAATAATTACACAGACACGACAAGACTGTGTTTTAGTGTAATAACACACAATGACAAACACACACGCCCAGGGTGTGTTTTGAGTCGACCAATTCCCGGCCTGCTTCATATCCGCGGTCATCCTTTCATAATTCACTCATGCATCTATTCTTACAACTCGCTGAATCCTCCCCGCCTGCTGTGAAATCACACTGACCCTCTCCGTCACAATCAGACTCCTCCCCTTCGACGCCACGCCGACCTTAAGACTGTCAGACAAACTGACCAATAGCGCAGGAATTCCCACTCCTTTACGTATCTGACCGGCCAATCAGAACGCGGGTAGGCGGAATCACCGTGGGCCTGGCAATTCATCACGTTTGGTTGCAAAGGTAAGCTCTGGATGGTGATTTTTTTGTGAGTTTGCTTTGACATTTTATGTATTGTTCACACTGTAATTTATAGAATTATGTTGTAGGTGCTTGTGTGTGCTTGCGTGTGTTAAAATACACCTTTACGATAGGTAAACAGTCGTCCATTCGTGCTAGCCTGGCTAAGTGTTTAGCAGTGCAAAGTATTCAAAGCAGAGAGAACAACGGTGATTTCCTTTATTAACGACACAACAGCTGTTTATTCATTTTGATTCACGGCTGAATTGTCCGGTTTTTTTGTTGTAAAGGTCCTGTTAGTGCTCGTTGGAAACTGTCTAGAGTATCCTGACAAGCAAGAAGCATTTTTTTATTTGTTGTTGTCGGCTTTTACAATGTTTTCACTAAGTTACACGGTTTTTTAAGTTTGCTTTCTCTCCCAATTCATCATATTGCTCATCAGAGGGCTTTGTCTGTTAAGTGCCCAACCCGCATTGATTCAAATGTCTTTACCAAGCCGCCTCAAGCTTCCTCTCTCACATGTTTGTTTACATCTGTTTTCTGTCTGCATGCTATCAAGAATAACCAGGGACACACGTGTTAAAGCAAACATATCGAGATGCAAACTTTTCAATTGTTGTTTACATAATGCTCTGGTTGTTACAGAAGCTGATTCACTGCTGAGCTGAGGAGGTAAAGGGACGGATACAAACCCTACCACACCTCTCCCTCTTCAAACTGCCTCCTCTGTTGGATACTTTTTTTTTTTTTGGGTGGGGGGGGAACTATCTTGAAACTTTCAGCTTGATTTTTTTTTTTTTTTTTATCTTCCCTTTTGGACGGAATGGATTTTGAGAAAGATTTTGGATGGTTTTACTGTACGAACTCGTTGTTGAAAGCTTGCTTGTAGAGTTTGCTGACTTTTCAAGGAGTCGCATTCATTCATTTGGAGGGTAACTAACCCCAACACCAAAATGGATCAAGCCGGCGGTGGTGAGGACCCGAATAAACCCTCTAAAAAGAAGTCCAACGAGGACGAGGGTAAAAACAAAAAGCTGGTAGGTACTCGGGGAAAGTGCATTGTTTGGGAATAAATGGTATGCAGTGAACTGTCAAATCCTGTAATCTCACAAACAAAGGTTAATTTCACTGTAAAAATTTACTTGACAACTCACTAGTTGCAGAAAATTGCACTACTGCACATGGATTCTCTTCATAGCTACATTTAACACTTTCAGAAAGGTTGAGTCTTCAGTGTAAAGTTTTTATAGTTTTGAGTGAGTAAAGTGGAAAATAACTCCAGTACAGACAGTAAAAATCATGCTGTCATTTCAGCACATCTCTGTTTACCGCAGGATGAGGCTGGAATAGTTATTGATGTGTTGTTATCACTATTTAATGTAGCCCAATAAGAAGCAGCTAATAGCTGTTAGAGTTGAGCAAAAGAGATAGTGTTTCACTGAGTGCTTTACCTTTGAAAGCACTCAGAGCATCATGTGATTCTTCAGAGATACACCTCCTGACAGTTCTTTTAAGAGCATTCTTGTTGTGACAGTTTGGCCTCTTTAAGGAATATACAAAGAAGAAGTTCAGTAACAGGATGACTCATTGCAGAGAGTGATCTTTAGGAGTTGTGTGTTTTTTTTTTTATGGACTTCTTGAGTGTGTCTGATTGATAACATTGTATAATCAGTTCAATAAATGACAGCTTTGTGCCTAACAGCCAAAAACTACGTCAGAAATAATGACATTTACAGCTTCAATGTTGGGTAGGCTTTAGTTTGAAAGTGGGCAACCCTGAGTCTGCATTCCCCCCCTGAGTGTCACAGAGCTATTTCAGTGTGGTGTTCAATGCCTGGAAATGAAATCAGACAATTTGTGGGAAAAGGTGCTGGTGTTGGTTGTTTTGGAGGAAACATTGTCATTCTGTATGAAGACCGCACAATAACTTCTATTGACTCATGCCGTCTTATAACATATGGAAGCAAAGAAAAACGTTGTTGTTGTTGTTGTTGTGTAAACAATGTCTTTACAACTACAATGTACAACTTAAGTTGGTAAACTGTAGCCGCAGTCTTGTATTTGCTGTCTTCTAAACTAGATTGAAGTGTGTTAAGTGCATGTCACTGTGCAAACTTTGTCAGCGACTGTAAAAAGAGACTGAGGGTAATTTTCCGTGACCAAAGACAAAAAACTTTGGCAGCTTTTGATCATCATTTTGGACTCGCCACAATTGTCAGCGTGGAAAGCTTGGCTTGCAGTTGATCTGTCTGGATGATGTTGCTTCTCGAATAACAGGCTGTGCTGCTTTGCATTGTGCTCCACAGTGATCTGTGATTCTTTGCTGCTGGTGGGATTGGTTAAAAGTTTAGTTACAGCCACTGATACCAAACAAGGCAAAGAAAAGGGCATGCTTCTCTTTCTGTTTTGGTAAAGTGAAAAGGCACAGATGGGCCAAATTGTAGTGATTGCTGACGTAGAGGCTGACCACTGATGGCTTCCTTAACACCTTTGTTGTTTACTTAGGTGGTGTTTTTTTGTTCTTCTGGGTGCAGCTGTCCTAAACACTTAAACACCAGGAGGAAAACAGCACCACTGCTGTTGTGTTTCAGTGAAGGGGAAACAGTCCTAAAACAAGTAATCACTGGTTGTGTTCAGTAAAGTTAAGGTAAGGGAAAGTGGGACCATAATAACTGCCAGACATGAATTCCCAGAGTGGGCAGAAATGCACTCACAGAGCTACCAAAGGGTGTTGTCCTGGGAAATCCTACCAACTGCTTGCAACTCTTGTATATCCTGCCTCCCAAGTCTAATATTGTTCACAAGGGGGTTTTGGTGATGTAAGCGCTCAGCAAATCACTTTTTGTTCCTTAAAGTAGTCTCGGGGCCAGGAACGTTCCCTGTTGCTCAATCCTCCGAGCTGAGCTGTCAAAGGCAAAGGAAGTCTAAAGTGGGGCTGTTGCAGAAATCTTAACAAGAGCTCAACACAGAGTTTCAGGAGGGAAGTCATTTCTCATCCCTGGGTGGAGCCATGATCTGTTTTTTGTTTCAGCCCCACTTTTGAGCTTCCTGAATGGATGCTGTAGCTCAAAATTTGTTTGGAAACAAGAAGTAAATAAGCCTATGTGTGCAAACATGAATGTTTATTCTTATTTCAATCAATGAAGCTTCAAAAAGAAGTATGTCATCTCATTTTTCTTTTCTTATGTTTGGACCCCCCCCCCCCCCCCGATTTACTCATACAGTAAGACTCAATGTATTTTCCTCATATGCACAGAAAACGTGGAGAATGTAGGCTTATGCTGGGTCAGTGTAGTGCAGGGTTGTACAGATGAAGTCCAGACTCGAGGATGGAGTTATGTCTATTCTGAGAAGGATTCACTAAGGTTTGTGTCTTTTCTGATGCAGACCATCTACCAAGCACTATTTGCAGGGCTAATGAGCAAAGTAGACACAGGCACAGCGTGGTCTCTGCAAAGTCAAATCAGCAGAGGAGAAACACTGAAAGCTGTATGTTTGTTTTACAAGTCACTGGGCAGGATTACATCACAGCAACACCATTCAGGCTTCGGGCCCAGAAACTAGATACTGAATGCAGCCAAGGACATGAGAATGATACACCGTGTCCAGACATAGTTGGTTGAGAACTTTTCTGCAGTTTTGTAGCTTAACTTTGTGATAACATCTTTTTCTTGATGTTGAACAAAAACATAACATTCCTAAAAGGGGCTGTTGGTGAGAGGTGAAAGGAATTTAGTAGAGCCAGTTTGACGTAAAAGGAGAACAAATTACCCCTCTGCATTCCAGAGTTAGAAAAAAATGATGTCATACAGACAAGCACAAGGGAAAAGTCATCCCAGTACAGCCCTGTAAGAACTGTGTGACTGCGCCTTTTAAAGAGATTTTAAAACTGAAGTACACATTTACTAAAAGCTTTAGCTGCACCTCTGTAAAAGTCTGTAAATTATCTGTTTGAGGTAAAGAATGTTTGATGATTAAACATGTTATTCATAACTTCAAAGCAAACCTCAACATCAGCAGTGTGTTTGGCAGGTATTCTGCAATGAGATCAGTCAGTCAAAGGACTGATTCATTTGTTTGCTTTCAGGCTTTGCTTGTCTGCTGTGATTTATATTATCATGTATACCTTTATATACGTACATGTCCTTTATTAAACCAGGTAAAGCCTCAGTAAGATGAAATCCCTTTTAGTAGGAGGGACCTTGTTGTGTATTTTACACAGACTTTGCAAGTGGGTAATATTATTTGTGGTTACTGTGGTAGCCTGAATGAAAAGGCTTGGAGATGTTATCAAATTCTTTGAAGTGAGATGGCCAAGATGTCAGGACTGAGGACCTTTTTTCAATCCAAAAAACAAAATTTGCCCCAAATGGTGTCCAAAATCCAAGCGGCAAACTTCTGTGTTGCCTCAAGTGGCATTGAGACAACGATGCAGTGACAGGGCCTTTGCAAAATAGAGTTGAGAAGGAACTTGTATTTGGTAGAATATTATCTCATTGGGAGATGAGCCCTGGCATTCAAATAACCACAAAAAAGCCAAATAATAATGAAAAGTATAAACACTATGAATGGTTTTGAGTGGGGTGAGGCCTGCCTTAATGCGTAGTTCAATTATTTCATTTTGGTCTCTAGCATGTAAGCTGTTGTTTCATGTCGCACCAGTTTTAGGTGTTAGTTGAGTGAACATCTATATGCTGTAGATACTTGATCATATTTTATAACTTCAGGTGGGTAATTTCCAGAAACTAGTGAGCCTGACCTAGTTTTTACAATAGGTTAATACAGACTGTAATGCTTTAGTTACACTGGAGAAATTAGTGCTTTCTGAGATGTTGAAAAGGGCTTTGAGAAACTCTTTCATGAAAAGCTTTTTTTCCCGACGGTTAGGTAAGACTGCTGCTAGATGAAAACAAGAATTAGGCAGAAGGCAAAATCTGTCATAGTCTCCACTTTGACAGGTTTGTAATATCCACTTTTTTTGTCAGGTTAATTTAGAGCACCAACTTTTAATGAATGCTTTTTATTGAAGTGTGACTTAATGATTGTATTGCTTGTCATTCGGGGGCCATTAAAGTAATTAAAGCTTCACTAATGAATGGACAGTTGAGCACAACTGAAGCAGCGGGGTCTTTAAAATGAGACCCCAGACATGAGGGAACTTAGTGGAAAACATACTCTACATTTCATTTGCTACAGAGAAAGTCTTGACAGGGCGGCTGTGGCTAAGTTGGTAGATTCGATCATCTCACAAACGGCAGTTCGGGGGTTGGATCCCCAGCTCCTGCAGCCACATGTCCGATGTGTCCTTGGGCAAGACACTTTACCTCCCGCTGCTTCGCCGGTGGTGTATGCAGTGTTTCCCCTAGGTTTACAGCGTTGGGGGGGACAAGCCAACATGCCGACATGGCGACACAAACACTTGAAGGAATCTTGGTGTTCATTAATGCGTAACTTTTAATGACAGCTGTCCTGTTCTATCGGAAAGGTATCCTTAAATGACTTATTTCCCTGATTTCCGACTCTATCCACTATCCTATCTCTACAATAAAGGCACAAAAGCCCCCCCCCCCCAAAAAAAAAATATATATATATATATATATATATATATATATGCGCACAAGGTGCAGTATTGAACAGTAGAGATACTGCACACAGTATTGCACATTAGGCTCCGACTATTATATCCAGTTTATTGCATACATGGTTTCTTGAACAAATTGTTGATAATATAATATGGGATTTAATATTGTATTTCCTCGATTAGATTAACATTACTCGGTAGTTTTTCTCTAAATATTTAGAGAATATTTAATATACTATTACAGTTCAAGTTTGTTTTTGCATTTAAACCTACATTCTTGAAGGACATAAACTATTTGTTTTTCCTAACCTCTTAAGAGAGATTATGAAAACTGTATATTTATTTGGAACACGACTTTTCTCCCTTTCATTTTTACATAGGACAAAGCCCTTGTAAAAAAAAAAAAAAGATATTTTTCTATCAAACAAGCACACTGTTATTCAGCAGTGTTGTTAA